CAAATTTTTTCCATAGTTATTTACATGTGTATACACATATCTGTATTTATGCATACTTTTTCCCTAGAATGAGATTGTAGTGTCGTATTAACATTGGTTTCCTGAGTTCAACTTGCTCTCAAATCGTTCAGGAAATATATTTGTAAAGAATGGCAAGTTCAAAAATTATTATTTAATATTATTTTAAATGTACGTAATATACTTTTATACAAACATAATATATTCCACTTCCCTGACTCAAAGAGACCTCAGGTTTTACCTGTTCCAAACTGAACTCCTGACACCAGCTACATTCCCAACCCCACCAGGACCATTCTGCATTTCCAGGGACTGTCACCATCATCCAGAAATCCAGGAGCCTTCCTTTCCACCTTTTCCTTCACCGCACCACTTTCTAACCATCAAGTTCTGCTCTCTTTACCCCTAGAGGCCTCTTTATTCTAACTACTCCAAATCCTCATTGTATCTACTCTGTCTTACTACGGTGGTCTCTTCCACAGTCTCCTGCACCCTTTCCTCTCCCTCCATTTCATTCACCAAATTGCAGCCAGAATGGTCTTTTTAAACTGAAACTCAAATTATGTCATCTCCGCTTCAAGCCCTTCTGAAGTTACCCACTGTGTCCCATATAAAGACAAAATTCTCAATTCTACTGTGCTCTTTTCCTAGCCTCACTTCCTGCCACTGCCCCTGAACTTTGGCCATCTCGGCTTCCTGCATTGGTGTCCCCTCCCTCCTCTGGCCTTTGCACATGGCCTCTGCTCTGTTTTTTTCCTGGATTGTTCTCCCTACCCCTGGCCTGTTAAATCTCACTTGCCTTCCATTGTTAACCTAACTAATTTACCCATTGATAAATCTCTAACCACTCTAGGCTCATAAAATCTGCTTAATAAATATTTGAAAGAATCAATAAAAAAGACTGACCCAAGACAGACATGGGTTCCAGGGGCAGTACCTTTAAATGGAAATGATTTAAAGTCCACAGCAATTAAATGATTGGCTTGACCAAGGTCACACAAGCAGCTAGTGGTAGGCCAAGGTTAAACCCCACTTCTTTTACTCCCAGGCACCACCTGTTCCACATTAATCCCTGATCAGATGTCTCAGATGAGATTTGCTCTAATGAAACCCTCATCTCACTGCTTTCCTCCAAACCTCCCCAATTTGTCAACCTCCATATACATGATGACAGTAACGTGTACTTATCAACTCAGCTTCCAGAACATGGCTGGGAAATTCTAGATGTAAGCTGTCTTCCTACTTGAGAACTTACTGAAGTTGTTTAGTGCTATTGCTCTTAAACTCCAATCAAGAAGGTCCCCTGGCCCCTCCACAGCCAAGTCACAGCTCACTGATGTGTTTAAAGTAATGTGCTTGGCACTTGAGCCTCATGGGCTGCATGTGCCGTTCAGGCTGAACTTGAGAGATTTTTCCTTAGTACATTTCCCCCTTTACACAGATTCAGACACTTAAAGCTTATTACACAGAAACTGACCTGGAAGTGACCGGGCCTTTAGAGACAATGGTGGGAAATTGGTTACAATAGACTTGCATCCACCCAGGGGCCCAGAACTAGTAGAGGTGAACATTAACTCATCCCGTGTCCAGTGTTGTTCATCCAAAATGATTATAGGAAATTGAAGAAAACATCAAACAAACAGAATTAGAAAAATTCAGGGGGGAAATTGAGTGGTGTGCTAAGAGAGAAAAAGTAGATTTTACCATTGTAAAGGCAGGAGAAAGACTGGCTGTTTCAGGATAGCAGGGCCATTGGGAGAACTACCAGAAACAAGCTCAAACAAACTCCTGCCACGCAGATTGCCCTGGGAGGAACCAATCCTTGAACAGAATCCTGCTGCATGCTGAGGGCAAGGTCCAAGGCTTCCCGGAGAAGAACTCTGTAAAATCCTCTTAAATCTTCTGCTAGATGACTAGTTGAAGAGCAGTTAATGAGAGTGATCATTCTGAACAATGGATGTCAGCCATGAAAAAGTTTAATTGGTCCAAGTGTGAGCTCAGGTTTATGTTGCCTCTTGGACGACCCAGGGCTCCCAGGAGTTTCTCCCCACCTTGATCAGAAGCTGTTCAGAGCTTTCAAAATCCAGCATAACCAGGAAGAGGTAGAAAAGGACTTTCAGAGGCAGCAAGGAGTAGTAAACATTAAAATTTGTCTATACTAGAAAGTAAAACAAAGGGAAGCCCACCCAATAAATGTGGATCATTTGAATGGCTGGGTTGGTGACCATGTGCCAGGAGGCTCTTTTTGACTCCTCTTTGGGTGGTGCCAAGGAGCAGCTTGAAATCAAACAAGACAGCAGTATTTACACCAGGGGAATAAGCAGAAGCTATTAATCAGGGGCTCTGCTTCTCACAAAGCCAATCACTCACCATTCACCAGTGCATCACTGGATGGGAGAGATGGAGCCCTTCTGGAAACAGTTCCCTGCGGTTCTTCCATTGAAAATAGACCTTACCACCTTTTGTTGTTGCTTTCCTCTTTTAATTACTAATACACAGTGGCACTCTTCAATTATGTTTTATTACACATCCTTAGCAGCTCAGCATTTGTGGACTCTCCTGGCAAACCCACCATCATTTAATATGGGGAAATATTTCCAGGTTGCAAGTTACTGACTCTAAAATAGACTTTCAGTGGTTCTGATGCCTGCCTCACAAGCACAAGGGCAATGAGTTCAATCCCTGGTACCAAAAATAAAATAAAATAAACTTTCAGAAAAGAATTTATATGTAATTTGGGGATTTCCAATTCTGGATCCTCAGGGAAGTTACAGAACAAAACAGTCATGTCAGTTTTTTAATTATAGGTTATAAAATATATACTAAGTGAAAAGGCAAAAGGAAAAAAATTATTTAACTTGGAGAAGAAAATTATGAGGGTTAATTTAATTATGCAGCTGAGTGCCAGCTATTTCATTTGGGCTTGTCACAGGGTGTTTATTTACTTGTTTTGTTTGGTTTTATAGGAGGTTTTTGTCATATATTGTTTTGGTTTAGTTTGGTTTAGTTTACTTTGGTTTTCATTTTTTGAGACAGGATCTCACAATCTAATCCAGACTGCCCTTGAACTTGTGATCCACCTGTCTCAACCTCCTTAGTGCTAAGATTTCAGGCCTATACAACCACAGCTGGGTGTTTGGTTTTGTTGTTGTTCTTGTTCTTGTTGTTTGGTTAGTTTTGATTGGATTTTGTTTGTTTGTTTGCTTTTGAGACAGGGTCTCACTATGTAGTTGAGACTGACCTAGAACTCACTATGTAGCCCAGGCTGGTCTCAAACTCACAGCGATCCTCCTGCCTCAGCCTCCGGAGTTCTGGGATTATGGACATGCACCACCACGCCCAGCCTTGATTGTTTTTTTGTATTTTATTGTTTCCCACCATAAGCCTTATGGATTTGATTAGGCAAGCAGATAAATATTTGTATTATTCTGACATGAACAATTTGTAGATTTTTATTTCAAACATTTGCAAGCTTCTTTTTCTTCATCAGGGATAATTTACATATGATCTGTGTCAATAGCTAAGAAGTAGTTAAAATAAGCTCACTTGTCTGCTTTGAGGTTACTTTTGTCTTTATGACCTTAAGTCTAAAGGTAATATAGTATATTTTAAAGTTTTAAGATATAATTCAACAAGTGTCTTTAATAATACATCCTAGAATACTTAATCCAAAATATATCATTTTTTCTATCAAAAAGATGAATATTATAAATCTTAGGCTATCTCTTACTAATATGAAAATCTTAAATACTTTTATGTACAATAAATCAACAATTCTTGATAATTTAATGACTGAAACAAATGTTATTTGGGACTTGTTAAATTACAACTTCTTTAGTTATTCATTCAGAAAAAAAAAATGGAGATGCAGGCCAGGGATTTAGCTTAGTGTTTCCACTGCCTGCTTTGCAAGTATAAGATCCTGAGTTTGATCCCTGGTACCACAAATAATAATTAAAAAAAGAAAAAAGGACTGTGGATGTAGCTCAGTACAAAGGCCCTGGGCTCAACCTCCAGTGTTGAAACAAAATTACACACACACAGCACACATACACACACACAAACTAAAACTTAGCTATCTGTTCTGAGTAGTGTATATGGAATTCTTTCTGGTATGATTTAGGTTTTTAATTTCTATGACTTTTTTTAAATTCCACACATTTTTCACCCTCTGTTACACACTTCTTTAAATTTTTTAAAAATTTTTATTGTTGATTAAATGGCACTTGCATAGACATTTACTTGATGTGATGGATCCCCTTCCTGGCACCAGTCTGCCATCATAAACTGCTTTGAAAGTTTTGATGAAATCAACAGTCCTCCCAAGTTTCAAATGTTCCCAGTACTGGCATCAGACCTCTCCTCATTTTTTAATGTTGTCTTTCCTTTCCAACAGATGTGGGTGCATTTTTTGAAGAGGGGATGTGGCTGCGTTACAACTTCCAGGCACCCACAGTCAATGCCAAAGACTCAGGCAGCAGAGCAGAGAACTCTCTGGAACAGCAGCACACAGCCCCAGACCTGGCCCAGGAACAGATCCATTTCAGCTTCAGCACCACCAAGGCACCCTGCATCCTTCTTTACATCAGCTCTCTCACCACAGACTTCCTGGCCGTGCTCGTCAAACCTTCCGGTAAGGACCAGCATGCCTCACCCTCCGCCATTTTAACAATGGGCAGACAAGAGTGTTCTAGTAAGACTCCAGATTGTTTTGGGCTTGTTCTTTATTCCCCCAGGGGATATTGAACAAGCCGTCTAACTTCTTTGAAACTCACTTCTCTGCATGGAAGTCAGAAAAACAATATTTCAAGTTCTTTACAGCAAAGGTATTATAGTTTTAATGTTGGTGAGATATGTTAGGTTCTTTTCAAGAATTTTATTATATAAATATGAGATGGTTTCATGTGTAGAATGATTATTTTTTATTCCTACCAAATACATACTTTCACTACTATGTTGAACACAGATAAGCTTTGAAGTAGTAAAGTTAATTTTATATAAATCAGTGAATTATCCTAATTTATGACAGTATTACCTGGGTAGGGGGTCTCATCAGGTTCTTGATGTCCTAAACAAAAAAATGAGCAGGACATTCAATAGTAACAGTAGGGTCAATGATTTATTTGAAAAAGAAAAGACAAGATACACCACATGTGGGAGTGGACCAGTGAGAAGGGCTTGATATTTTAAACCTTTAGGGTTTGTGGTGAGATTGAGGGTTTGGTCTGAACAGTAAGGAGCTTGACTTAGCCCTTTCATCAGATGGTGGAGCAGTTTTTCTACCTTTTACACTTGATCTTAGCCGAAGGGCAGAGAAGCAATATTCTTTTTATTTTATTATTTTTTTTTTTTACAAGGATGGAATTCAGGACCTTGTGCTTTCGAGGTAGGTATGGTGCAACTGAACTAAATCCCTACACCCCCTGCTTTTTTTAAAAAAAACCTTTTATAGCATTTACAGGAGTTGTCATGGTGTCCAAAGTCCACAGGAGGTCAAATCTGCATAAGCAATGACATGGTAATTAGGGCTGGGTCAGCCAAGGGTTACAGAAAACCACTGGGTGCATGGCTACAAACCTACTGGGTTTTTTTTTCCCCTAATCTATTTATTTCTATCACTGATGATCAGAAAACATGATCTGTAACATCAGAGATCAGCAAAATCTTTCCGTAAAGGACCAGAATATTTCACATTTTGCAAACAACTTTATTAGTCCACATTAGCAGTATATGACTACATTATGGGAGGCATAGGCACAAGCACATAACACATCCTCTTTTCGCATGCCTTTCCTCTCCCCTCCCATCTCCCTTCGTCCATCTCTTGGTATTGCTCCCAAAGTGACCATAGACAATTTGTCAGGAAATGAAGGTGGTTATATTTCAGTTAAAACTTTTCTTACAAAAACAGTGTGGCTGGCCAAGTTCAACTGTGGGCCGTCATCACTGAGAGCACATGGTCTATGTGCCATGGATTCTCTGGTGACTGCTAGGACTGTTAAGACTCACTACGGCCTAATACACAAAGATTCTATTTCAAGCGTGCCTGAGAATCAATTATCTCATCCCTGGCCAGCCTCCACTTCTTTAGGCTAAAGTCTGAGCCATGAAAGCATGTGCTTTTCTCATTCTGACACCACGACTAAGAAAACAGGTTTCAACGTTGCCACTTGCCATTGGATTATATGAAGCAAGTTACTCAGGTCTGTAACTCTCCAGTTCTTCACCTATAAAGTAGAGAAAGTAATACACCCCTCCTTGGGGTAGAGACAAGGAATGACCCCCACAGTGGCACTGGAGTGTGGAGCAGCCTGTGTTCACTAGCAGCCACCGCAGATTACTGAGTCACTGTTCAAGGAGGCGAGTGTCATTATACCCATGTTTACAAGAAATTAGAGCTCACAGAGGTTCAAAAAATCTGCCCAGTTTCATGCGTCAAAACACCAGGCCCTCTATTTCCAAATCCAACATTCCCAACACAGGGGGAACTGACAGCAGGCCGTTCCTAGGCAAGGCGGCATTTTAGAACACGCAGAGAAAGGGGCTGTGAAACCCACAAGACCAAATCCTTCCTGGTGCAGGTTTGGTCCTGAAAGGAAGAGATGAAGTTCAGTGGCCTGAAACGGTATTCTTGGGTAGCGAGACAAAGAAGAGGAAAAACCAGGCTGAGGAGGTTCACAGGAGGATTCATTCTGCTTTGGGCTTGGTCCTCTCAGGAAGTGTCGCCCCGCGTTGCAGACAGGCTGGGCCTTGTTGCTGTCTGTGGCCCAGGCCCCAAATGGGCTTCCCTTTTGGCTTCTGCAGGCTCCACGTGCCTGGGGCGCCTGGAGCCTAAAAATATTACCGCCCCAGTTAACATCGAGTTCGAACTCTGGATTTTTTTTTCTTTTTTTTTTTTAAACAAGCACCAACTGGGTGTGGTGTGGCTCTCCTGAAAATTCCTAGTATTCTGGGAGGCTGAGGCAGAAGGATCGCACATTGGAGGCCAGCCCAGGCAACGTCCTAGGGTCCTACCTCAGAATAAAATTAAGTAATAAATAGAGCTAAAAATACATCTCCGGACAAAGGCCCTGGGTTCAATTCTCAGTAAAATATGACAAGTAATATAACTACGGGCGCCAGGATGGGCCGCATAAGCCACGGCTCAGGGCTGCCGTCGCTCCACGGGCTCCGGGTCCCTTTCCAGGCCAAGAAGCTGACCTTTCTTCCCCCGGCTCACGGAACGCGGGCGGCCCGGGCTCTGGAAAAGGCCCCGAAGCCTCTCCGTCAACCCCAAGCGGGTCGGCCCCGGGATCTCGAGAGCCGCATCCTGTGACCGTCACGACCTTCGTGACCGGTCCTCCGGCTCCGGGCCGAGCGCAGGACAGGCGCCCAGACGTCGGGGGCGGAGCTACAGGTTCTGGCCCGCGGCAAAGCCCCAAACGGGCGGCGCGTGCGCAGTCTCTCCCAGACCTACTGTTTACAAGCTAAGTTACTTGGTTACCTTGTCCCACTGTATTTAGACTTGGGCATCCCGGTCCCGAACAAATGTTACTCAGAAGGTAGATCCAGTCCCAGAAAAGGGACTTGACCATCAGTTGTGCCCTGACCAAAGAGGAACCTGGTGAGAAAATATACATTGACTTTGGTCCTTTAACAGGACCTTTGGGAGGAGTCTAGCTAGTCCTGGAGTGTAGGAAAAAACCTCTCATTGAGGAATCTCCTTCCTCTCTGAAAACTTGAGCTCACAGATGGTCGAAATTATAAGAAGTGACTATTCCTTTGTTGTAGGATCTTACAGATCAAGATTTTTTTTTTTTCCTTTGGGACCAAAAGGTATTATTAACTGAATTCGGCTCAAGTTTTAAAAATAGTCCTTTCTTTGGGCAATGTACTGTCGTTTAAAATAACAGGAGCATGGGGCCGGAGATTCGGCTCAATGGTTCTGCTGCCTGCCTCGCAAGCACAAGGGCCCCAGTTTGATCCCCGGTACCAAATAAATAAAATGATGGAAGGAAATTAATGTTCTCTAGGATTTTTTTCCTTTCAGAAATTGTTCCTAAAGAAATAAGACATAGAGTCACCATGAAGATGTAGATGTACATCGGTGTTATTATGAAAGCAGTAGTTGCAAAAGTCCCTGGAATTGCAACTTTAATAAAATGTTTTCTTAAATCAGCTATATTTTAATGGAATAATTCTTATCCAATCAAAATATTTATGAAGTCTAATGACACAGACAATTTTTATATACTATAATGCCAAACAACAAAAACAAGGTCCAGCCTTGAATCTATAAAATCAGCCTAACTCTGTAAAACACATATAGATGGAGAGAAAAGTACCAATATGAGCGTGAAGTACCTGGCTAGATTCTGGGTGATTTATTTTTACTGAGTGCTATTCTTCTACACGTGTCAGGTGCTCATATTCATCAAATGTCACCTTTCTAATCAGAAAAAAAATAGTAAGCAAAATCAGAAAGAATGCAAGAGACAGCCAGGTGTGGTGGCACACGCCTGTAATCCCAGCACTCAGGAGGCTGAGGCAGGAGGATCACTGTGAGTTCTAGACCAGACTGGGCTACATAGTGAGTTCCAGGTCAGTCTCAACAACATAGTGAGACCCTGTCTCAAAAAACCAAAAACTACATAGAATGTAAGAGACAAAAGTACCCAACTCCTGCTCTTCTGGAGTTCACCAGTGTATGTGTCCTGGATCAGTCAATAGATTTTAATCCACATATGTTTTCTACCCATGCATACCAACCTCCCATGGCTTCTACTCACGTTCCTCCCGGGGAAGACAGGCTGTCAACGATTTGAGCCACCTGTGACTTTATGTACTGTTACCTGGCCCTAAATCACTGCCACCTTAAATATAGTCCTAGCTATATTTGATAACTCACATTCTTGGTGTCCATGCCCACCATTGCCTGCACATTTGCTTGGGATTGGGGACATTCTTGGTGTGCAAGGGCTTTGATCAGTGATTTCCATGGTGGTAGCCACCATTCCATGAAGCTCCTGGGGAGCCCAGCACTCTTCTAAGTGTCCCACATGCATTGATTCCCCTGAGCCATGTTACTCTGGAAGGTCGTACCTGTTCTTATGCCTTTCCCAGCAGGAGTTAAATGACTTGCACATTGTCTGCTGGTGAAAATTTGGTCTCTTCACCTTCCAAATATTACTTTTTTATTAACTGAAATTTAAAGTTAGAAATAAATTTGAGAAATTACTCAAGGGAAAAAATAAACAAATTAAAAGCCTTTAACTAAATATCCTGGCACCCTGCAGACTTCACACATTGAAGGCTCTAGTCAGTGTACCCCAGTGCAGCTACTGATTGCACTCTTGTTCTGATGGCCACTTTCACCTTTGCCTTGCGGCCACTTGAGCCCCATTCATAACACTCTGTCCTCCCCTGTTGGCAGCCCTTCGGGCAAACAAGTCTGGTGTATTCCACTGCCATCGTGCCCATCTGCCCCTGCTGCTACTCTTCAGAACAAACACTTTCTAATTCAGTGTTTCCCGATATCTTTCGTGTCAGGACACCATAAGAAATATTCATCACTGTTGAGTGGCACAGATTTGTGGATGGGGTGGTGATTGGAGGCAGCCCCTCCTCCAGAGATGCCAGGCACCCTGCCTCCCATAGATCTGCTGGAATGTGGGGTCCTTGCCCTGGACACTCCACTGCCCATTGGGAAGCCGTGCCCCAGCCCGTCTCCCTGCTCTTGGCTGCCCCAGCTTCATCCTCCCCACACCCCACCACGGCCAGAGCCGTCCTCCCTTATGGGCACTGTTTAGCAGGGACGTCCCGTAACACCCCTAGTAAACACATAATGGTAACCCACAGTAAAACCAGGAGAGGTCCCTGGTTCCACAAGCTTCCAATCATGACCCACCAGCCTGGTAGTAGAAAAGAGCCTGGATATCCAGATTTTAATTCTGCCTCTACCTTTTGCCGCTTGCTCCAGACAGTTAAGAGCTCTGTGCCTAAGATTCCTAATTGGCAAAATAGTGTTTCCTTCGTTAGATTATTGTGAAAATCAAATAAATCTAAAGTGCTAAATAGTATGTACATGTAATGGCCACTGATAAGAACTGGCAGTTATTATTACCAGAGTCCACTTATTCAATCCATGAGTTCCCACCTTTTCAATATCCTCTACTCTTCATTTGCAAGAAACACATGCTCCCTGGGCACAATATGGCCATCTGTGCCCACTGCTATGCCCATAATTCTCCCAGACCCACACATCTCTGCCTCCCTCTGCTTTTAATTCTAAGCCAGATCAAATCTCACCTCCTTTCAGGGGCTTCTCCTGCCTTTACACTCCAGTCACACTTATTTTCAATGTCATTTGTTTGGCACTTAATATACTGTGTTATTATCTGTCTCTGTTATAAACATGCCCTGTCTTCCCAGGGAGATGAAAAGCTCTCGGCACTACATCTCCTGCCTACAGTGGGTGCCCTATAAGTGTGTGCTCATGATAATGATGATGACCAGGGAAGAATAAATCTGTTAAGCATGTTATTTGCTGCAGCCAATAAAAAGAAGTCCCATATAACAGCTTTAATTCACTTGGGAGATGAACACAAGATAGAAGAAGTGAAGTATCTCTCCACTTGAATAATATTTTACATTAATGGGTAAATATTAACATTCTCCTTACCATCATTCAGGGGTCCTCCTCTGCTATGATTTGGAAAGAATAAATACATCACTTAGATTTTATTTCGAGAATATTGCCATTATTGTTCATAGATATTCACTATATATAAATTTAAAGTTCCAGCTCATCTTTTTTTTCCTCAAAGCAAATAATTTCTATTACCATTAAGTGAAGCACTTAGAGGAATTTTAAATCAAACTTACAAAACCAAGAGAACCAGAAAAGAGAAAAGTAATGAAAATAACAAAGCTGAGTTTAACAGAGCTGGAAAACATAAAAGGGACACTGTTGGAGATACTTCAGAAGGAAAAACCCAGGTTTTGCATAAGGTCCAGCTCCTCAGACCTCCAGCACCCAGGCTCAGAGCCTTCTTCTGTGTGTCTTTGTGTCCAGATTCACACACAGTACCCAGCCCACGCTCAGGGAATGAGGATGGTTGCCTACGTGAAACGTGGACTTTACATCTGTAACAAAAAGCTTATTTTCAGACCCTGAGAAAGGCTTAACTTTGCCTAAAAACTCAGTGAATGAATAAGTGAAAAAACAAATAAGTGAACACTGACTCAGTGCAGCTGTAGATTTAATAGAACTGCTTTTAGATAATGTCCAAGCAGCAGAAGTCAAAACTTAAGACAGCCCACTTGTTTGTGCTGTGTGTTGCCAAACATCTGCCTAATTGTCTCCTTCACTCGCAAACAGAGATTATTTTTAGTGTGATGGGAGTAAAGGAAAAGAATTGGGAAAATGCTGAGGGTTGGGGAGACAAGCAGCTCAGGGAAAGGAAGCCACATCTTCCAAGGCCCTGAGGTAGGAGGATGGGATTTTCTAGGAATCAGAGAAGCCCAAGCTCTCTTGGATGTTGAAAATGAGAGGAGAGAAGATGATTTGAAAATAATGTAGCAAATGGAACTCAAAGCAGGCAGGGCTTCATGAGCTGTATTAAGAATGGGTGTCTTCATAGTTGGAAAGCCTTCAAAAGATTTTAAATGAACCAGTAAAATAATCAGCTATGCATTTTTAAAAGGTCCCTCTGCTTTGAAATGAAAACATTGGACAGGAAGAAAGCATAGAAGCAAGGGAACCATTCATGAATTTATTCAACAAATACTCATTGAGAACCACTATTCCTGCCACTGGGTAAAAAGTCATAAGGAATAGAAACAAAAATTCTTGCTCTCATGGAGTTTATAGGTAAACAAGAGAAGATGGTCAGGCAAATTCACTAAATACAATCTGTACTATGTTGTGTAGTGAGAACAGTTGTTTATTGTATGGTGAGAAAAGTTGTTTGGAAAATGTAAGACAGAAAAGGGAAGGCTTGACCAAGGAAGAGTGAATAGATTCCACCCTTTTGAAGAAATCACAGAAATGTAATCACTGAGAAGATAACAGGAGAGCAAATACCTGAAGGTGTGAAAGTCATCCCTGCAGATAACTGGGGGAATTAGTGTCCAAGAGACCAGAACCAACAAGTGCAAAGATCCTGAGGCAGGGACTTGCTGGGCTTCTAGGGAAATAGCCAGAGTCCAGTGTGGACTGGTGAAGAGTTAGTCAAGGAAGTGAGAAATAAGAGATTAGATCAGAGACAATACAGGAAGTTCAAACAGAGCACGGCGAGGCATTATGAGGGCTTTGATTTCTAGATGGAGTGAGATAGAAAGCCATTAGAGGATTCTGAACAAGGGGTCGCAGTGACCACCATGTGAAGAGCATGTGTGAGAGGGCAGAGGCCCAATTAGGGCAGTAGGAAAGCTGGAGTTAGAGTGGAAGCAAAGAGGTCAGTGTGGAGGCTAATAGAATAATCCAGGCAAAAGACAGGGTGACTTGAGGGCTCAGCATGGAAGTATGAAAGGTGGCAAATTCAGTGTCTATTCAGAAGATCCACGCAGAGATTGTGCATGTGATACAGGAGAGGAACAAGGGGAAGTCAAGGTTTTTGACAAGCATGAAGCCTGATGTGATGCACAAAAGTATACTAGAAGACTTTTGGGGACAGAAGATGGATGTTAAGTTGCATGTGTTGTGTTTGAGGTGTCTGTGAGACATCCAAAGAGAAATATGGAGCTGTTTGTGGAATGAGTCAGAGGTCCAGGAGAGAAGTTTGACTGGAATACAAGTTTTGGGTCTGATGTGCACCTTGATCACAACCTGAGATTGAATAAGACAAGCATGGAGGTTGGCAGAAGGCAGAAGAGAAGTTGACCAAAGACTGGGCCCAGGGGGCTGCGAGAGTAAGGTGTCCAGAAAGATGGGGGAAAGATCAGAGGGAAAGTCTAAAGCATGTGTGCTGGAGAGAGGCTGACTTCAGATGCCCCTGCAGAGGTCATGGGGTCCAGCCAGGGGGCCCAGAAGATGACAGTGTGGCCGTAGGGTGCACAGCAAATGGGGAAGGCAGAGCAAGTGTACACATCTCTGGTGAGGGAGATGGAAAAGCGTGGGGGATGGAGACATCAGGAGACAAAAAATCAACAGTGCTTGGTAGAAAGGCTATAAGTAAAGAAAGGGAGGATAAAATGCTAAGATAGAGCTCAGAACTAGTTGTTTATTGAATTTTGTTCAGAAAGCAAAAATAGGAAATGTAATTAATTCATGTTTCTCCTAACAAATGTTTTTCTCAAACCCAGGAACGTGGTGCTGCATTTTAAATAGTATGCATGAGGTCTAAATAAGGAAAGCAACATTTAGGAAGCTGCGTGTTTATCTATGCGCGTGCATGTTTGTGTGTGCCTGCCCGTGTTTACATGAAGAGTGTCTGGCAACAGAGGCTGCCAAGATATTCCGTTATCCCTGGATAGTGGGATTTCAAGTGGACTTTCTTTTCCTTTCCTCTTTTGTTTTTGTTTATTTCCCAGCTGTAAGCATCTTGTGTTAGCCAATAACTTAAAAGTCAGAATTATCCATTTTATTTTTCTAGAAGAAAAATGAAAGAGATAGCAAAGAATCCATTAGGCAATTTACAGTTGGTCAAACCCTTGCTAGATTGATGGCTCCATTTTTTTAAGCTGAGATGTCAAACACTGTTAACAGCATAAAAATCTCAATTTGAGTAAAATGTAAAATAAAAATTGATGACTTTGCAAAATTATAAATAAGAAATAAAGGTATGGTTTCTGTGTGGATTAACTGAAAGCAGGATCTAGAGTGTCACATTAGCCTGTTTTGGTTATTAGTTGTCATTGTTGAGAAGAAGCAAGGAGGAAACAAAGTTGAGGAACCAAAGTGAATTATCTTTGAGAGAACCAGAGGACCTGGAATGTACATCTTTGCCTTCAATTTGAATTTTGGTTCATCTCTAACTTACAGTAAAATTCATTACTTTGTTTTCTGGTCTCAGTGAGGCCACTCAAAATCCAATGTATTCATATTTTGCAAATTATGTTTATTTTTAATATTGGAAGCTCATGATTCTTTTATATGCCGAATTTCACACTTTACTGATAGAGCAAGCCCATCTCTGCACTCCACATTTATTTTTCATTTCACACAGCATTGTGTGGGACCAGAAAGGGTCTCTGCAGTCCTGTATCATCTATGTTCTCGTTCTGTATTTCCAGGCAAGGTCCCAACTTGAAACGTTCATGCCATTTGCTGTTTCAGCTCTGTGATCATGGTGCTTGAAGTTCATGGCTGGCGGGTTGTGAATATATGTGAGCCTGTCGCTATTAGCCCTGATGGATCAGTGGGCCTCTAAGTAGTGCATCCCAACCCAAAACTGTACTGCTACCAACAGACACAGGAGGAAGGAGCAGAGCCTAAGGAAAACCAAGCTGCAGGAGTAGATGATGTGATATTGGGAGAAAACACGAAGCAAAGAAATCATGGGGTTTCTTTCCTTTTCTCACATAGGAAACTTGCAGATTCGGTACAGCCTGGGAGGCACCAAAGAGCCATACAATATCGATGTGGACCACAGGAACATGGCCAATGGGCAGCCCCACAGTGTCAACATCACCCGTCACGAGAAGACTATAATTCTCAAGGTATGGGCACTGAAGTTTATACGTGCAAGAATAGTGTAAGGTTATAGTCTCCATGCCCTGAAATGTTTGGCCATTGGTTTTCTTCAAGGTGAAGAGACAGGTGGAAGACAGAATAAATATACTTTATACTACATGTAAATATATTCCAGGTGTGCTTGAAATATAGTGAATGTTTAAATTTTTTAAGTGCATTACAGTAAAAGACACATTGCCATTATTCCCCTTCAAAACTCCCCCTCACTTTGAACACACTTATTCCATCCTTCTTGCCATTTCCTGATACAGTTCTGGAAGCCCTCTTTCATAAGTGTCTTTAGTTGCACTGTTGTGGCTGCCTCAATGTCCTGAACTGATTCAACATCTTTACTTTTTGTGCTCATTTTGACTCTGGGGTGAAGCCAGGAGTCACACAGTGCCATAGCTGGTGAGTAAGGTGGATGAAGACACACTCTATTGTTTTCACGACTCTGCCTTTCTGTTGGATGGCATGTGGCAAGAGTGTTCACCATATATTAGATCACACCTCCTAAAGAAACAAAAGAAGACTTCCAAAACTACTTCAGAAAGTAAGAAGAATGATGGGATAAGTGTGTTCAAAGGGAGAGGGAGTATTCTGAGGGACATTACGAACAATGTGTCTTTTACTGTAATAAACATTTTAAATTCAAACACTCCCCATAGAGGTGTGTGTGTGTGTGTGTGTGTGTGTGTGTATTGGGGGGGTGGTACTAGGGACCGAACTCAGGTCCTCGCACTTGCAAGGCAGGTGGCGGCACCACTAAGCAAAATCCCCGGCCCTTCACCATATATTTTGAGCGTACCTCATATACAATTAGTCTTTGGTATTCATGGAGGATTGGTTCTAGGACTCCAATGGATACTAAAATCCCAGGATAATCCAATCCCTTATAAAAATACAGCATGATTTTTGCACATAACCTACACACATCCTTCCAGATATTTTATATGATCTCCCAATTACTGATAATACTTAACACCATGCACACGCTATGCAAATAGTTGTTTAGGAAATAATGACAGGAAAAAGTGCCTGTACATTCACAGTACAAATGCAAATCTATTTTTGAGCATTTTCGAATGTGGTTGTTAAGTCTGAGGATGTGGAGTCCAGGGATATAGAGGGCTGATTCTAATTCTTATAGGTAAAGAAACCTGTAGCAGGGAAGTAGAATGAATATTTACTCCATATGTTCTTTCTGGCTTTCCTGCTTTCAGATGTCTCTATCATTTTAGTACCTATCAGGCTACCCCTTTTCTCCATCGCCCTATCTTTCCTGACTACACTATCAGATGTCTGAAGCTCATCATGTTTCCCCACACAGCTTATTTTGGTTTCTCTGACCTACTTCTTCCATGACTCCAACACAATATAGATAACTATATGTGTTTTTTTCTCTGCAGAGGCTCTGCCTTAAAAATCCTTGAAACAGTCTTTTCCAGAATCTCAGATTCTGGCTGTCAAGCTTTTAGCACACAAAGGGATGGTTTTATTATGACACTCGAGTTTTTTTTCAGGTTCATTTATTGCCCCTACCCCCACCAGCGACTTTTACAATGGAGAAACCAGCTTGGGAGATACCATGAATAAAACATGGCTTGAGAGGGTCTCCCTGGGAACTGAGCCAGAAGATCAAGGAGGGAGCTGTCACTGTCTTCCCTAGAAGGAGTTCCAAATAGATACCTGTCAGGACAAGGAACAGCAGGATGATGCTGTTTTGTCAGTAGAGTGGAATGTCATTTGACAGGAGCTCCGCGGCCCCTCCAACCTCATTTGGATGCAGCTAGTTGCTGGGGGGAAGTTTGGGTTGCAAAGAGAAAGCAAAAGTCCTGCCTCTTTTGAGAGCTGGTGGATGTCAAATTCATAAATTGGTATGGAGTTTGTGCCTGGCCTTTAGCAATAAATGCCAGAGGGCATTTTAAGGAGAATGATAACGTGCTGTTACAACTTGTATGGCATCTCTCAAATATGACATAGATGAGGTTGTTTCATAGTGCCCAAAGGAGTCCCTGAGCCTAGCACAGTGTCGAGCATGCCTTGGGTACTGCACATGGTTTCTTCCACAAATCAAACCCATCTTTAACCATGGTTCAAGTTTTATTCAGAAAAAAACAGAGAGTTCCAGAGACTAATGGGTTTATTCCATTTTAGGGACAACATATTGGCATTTAATTATACGTTCTCTTATTTTAAACCACCTATCTGTCATTGCCTTTAAGGAGAGTGACTTATCTTGCCATTTTGCCATTGCAAAAGAATATTAAAAGTTAAAAAGACAGAATGATTAGCATTGAAGACAGAATAGATGAGAACTACCACAGCCACGGGCTCTTGTGGGGTTAACCTTCACTGTCTGCCACAGGGAATTCAAGATTGGCCTGGATAAAAAGACAGGTGGGGCTAGTTTGGAGCTTTTGAAGAATTAAAAGCCAGAGATCACAATGTCCAAAAAGCCAGAGAGCTGCAGAGAAGCCAGAAGCCTCAGAGGTAGGCAGGCAGGGGAGTAGTCTGATTCTTGCTCAGGGATCTTTTGGCTGCAGGTAACAAAAACAAAAGATGACTCCAGAACTAACTTGTTAGGGAAAATTTCTAGGGTAGATCAAAGAATTTCAGAAAGACAAAAAATAGAACTGGGAAAGATACCCCAGCAATCATAGGAGATTAAAACTATGGATTAGAATACCATTGGGCCAATCTCCTCTTTATCTCTCCCTTCCTTCCCTGACTACCTCCCTCCCTTTCTTACCACCTGCCCCATTCATTCTCCTCTCTCTGCTCCTCTCTCTGCTTCTCTACCTCTCTCCAAGTCCAGGTTTTACTACCTCTTACTTAAAGCTCCATCTTTCACCTGGGATCACGCCTTCCCAATGTTGTGACCAGGAGAAAAGCTCCTAGTTTATTGATTTTCATTTTAAAATCCCAAAGAATGGGTGAGAGCCTGACCTGGGTCATGTACTCATGCTGTTAGAATAAAAGGGAAACCTTAACTGATATCCATAATCAGATCTTACAATTAAAATGGAAGTCCAGGGAATCTTTTCCAAGAGAACAGATCACAGGTCCCCTGAAAGAAGGGGAGATGGTGGGTATGGAAACTCTGTATGCACCATGCTCTGAATTGGGTAAGACAGACATGGGAAGCCCTCTGTAATAGTCAGCTTTGCTGTTGCTGGGACACAACACCTGACACCAAAAGAAGGAGAGATTTCACGTAACTCACAGTTTCAAGGAGATCAGTTCATGGTTGGCTGGCTCCAAAGCAAGAACATCACGGCAGAAAGGGGTTGGTAGAGTGAAGATTGTATTCAGGAAGCACAGCACAGTAAGAGTGTCAAAGAGGACCAGAGCAGAAACCAGACGTAATACCCAAAGCCACTCTTCCATCACTCACCCAGATGTACCTAGGAGCTGCTGTACTAATCTGCTAGGCATTTCTTAATCCAATAAAGTTGACAGAACAGGATTAATGGTCACATCCTCCAAACAGCAAAGAATTCTGTGGAGGAATTGAGCTCCCAGGTGCTGGGAAATGCCCTCCTCTGTCTTCTGCAAATAATGCAATTGCATTGAGTCCCCAAGTGTGGCTAAGAAGGGAGCGGGAGTGCCCTGGGAAAGACTTCCTGCCTAGGAAGCACTGGTCTCTCTCAGCGCGGCCTGTCCCCAACCAGGACAGTCTTCCCCACAGCCCTGCTCTGTCCTAGAACTGAAGGTGATAAGGTAGAAGGTAGTAGAGGAAAAAATGACAGTGCGCAGAAGGGTGAAGGGGGTGAAGGGAGGGCAGGGGTATGGGGAAAAAACAAGAACCACGATATATCATGTAAAGGTACAAATCCCAATGATAAATGTAACTGTATTGTTTGCTTTAAATGTACCAAAAAAATTAATGGGGAAAAAAAAAGACAGTGCTCCTCTTCGTGCAAATGTGGATCCCAAGACTCCCTCCCCTCACCCCATGCCCTGCTTTCTGTCAGGCAGAGAGGCTGTGCCAAACTCAACAGTAATTCTGAGAGTTCCTTCAGAACTCAAAAAAACACTCTAATTTTTTTCTTAAAACAATCTAGAAATCCACCTTGAGAACTTCTATAACCTTAACGATGTGTGGGAAGAGTTATAACAAAATGTTAGTAGTAATTATTTCTGCGTAAAGGGACTATGAATGGTTCTGTTTCCCCTAGAGTTTTCCATATTTCCTCATTTTCTGGGAAAATGAAAGCATGTATTGCATTTTTATAATTGAACAAAAACATAAAATGTACATATATCCTCAGCCTCTTCTAATAGGCCCCCAGTTATAATGGCAAAGATACTTAAATAATTTCCAATTAAAATTTACATACTCAAAGCACAAAAATAAGGCTAATTCAGAGATGAGTTTGACAATGCTATGGAACTGAGGTGAACTTTTATGCATTATAAATGCTCCAACATCATATAACTGGGCTGATGTTTATCAGTGTTTATGGTGTTTTTTAAAATCAGGTTTGCTTTCTTGGCTGGGTTTGGCTCAAGCTAATGTCAAATTAATTTGCATTCCCTGAGCACACCATCTGAAACGGTGCTGAGCACTTGAGGGAAATTGACCTTGGATGAAACATTTGCTGCCGAAGAATAAAGTGCCCAATCTCCACAAAGATAATGAAGAGCCGGTTCCCGCCTGTATCACACACCAAAGTGAGTGAGGACCCAGGACAGCACTCAAGTGGTGTCATTTATGGAGCTCACTGTGGCATCAGGGATCATAGCTTAAGGCTGAATGCCAGTCAAAATGTAAACAAACCTCAAGCAGCAGTGAGGACCTGAACAAATCCTGCATGCAGCGGGAGATCAGGCCAATTAACAAGAATCCACAGTGGAGTGTTACAGCCAGCAATGTCTGTGCGTTGTGTGACTGATCCTTACTGCTTTCTTTCCTCCCTTTCTACCATCCATAGTGTGTTCCTCCCTATTTCTTTCTTTTCTTTCTTCCCAGCCACACTGTACA